TAGCATGAGGCGGCTCAGTGCAGCAGTGGCAGGGGAGGAGTAGCGTGCAACGACAGCGTCGTACAAGGTCTGAGCACTCTTGTACTGGCTAAAGTGCGCGCGCTCAGTGGTAGGCAGGTGGCGACGCACAGCAAGACGTGCAGCAGCATCGCGAGTTGCCCACTGGGAGCGAACAGTGGCGTCGGCATCGGCAGCAGGGGCAGGGGAAGCACCAGAGGTGAGGTCAAAGAGGGAAAGACCGTCTGCCCTATCGCACTGTAGGAAAAGCTGCAGGTCATCCACCCAAACCTCAAAGTCAATGGCTCGACCCTCAGCGTCAAAAGCCAGAACACTGGGGGTAGCCATGACAACAGTGGACTAGCAGTACCAACTGTAGGATAGGGGCAGTGCAGTGACAGAAGCGCTGCTCTCACCTGGCAGGGCGGGTCGGGCAGCTCAGCGGTACAGCAGCACGGCAACACGGCTGCTCGGACGGCACTGCAGCAACTGCGGCTCCGCGGCACCAGCGGCTCGGCTCCTCAGGCGGCTCGGGCGGCTCAGGCGGCTCGGGTGGCTCGGGCGGCTCGGGCGGCTCGGGCGGCTCGGGCGGCTCGGGCTGGTCGGGCGCCTCGGGCGGCTCAGGAGAGTCGGGCGGCTCGGGCGGCTCGGGCAGCTCGGGCAGGTCGGGCGGCTCACGAGGCTCGCGCGGTTCAGGCGGCTCGGGCGGCGCGGGCGGTGTAGGGCGGCAGGGCCGCTGAGCAGGGCGGCGGGGCCGCTGAGGAGAAGGGCGGTGGGGCCGCTGAGTAGGGCGCCGAGGCTGCTAAGGAGAAGGGCGGCGGGGCCGCTGAGGAGAAGGGCGGTGGGGCCGTTGAGTAGGGCGGCGGGGCGGTTGAGGAGAAGGGCGGCGGAGCCTCTGAGGAGAAGGGCGGCGGGGCCGCTGAGTAGGGCGGCGAGGCCGCTGAGCAGGGCGGCGGGGCCGCTGAGGAGAGGGGCGGCGGGGCCGCTGAGTAGGGGCGGGGCCGCAGCGACGGGCGGCGAGGCCGCGGAGACGGGCGGCGGGGCCGCGATGCGGGGTGACGGGGCCGCTGTGACGGGCGGCGGGGCCGCACTAAAGGGCGGCGGGGCCGAAACGAAGGGCGGCGGGGCCGCTAGGGGAAGGGGCCGCTAGGGCGTAGGGGGCCGCTATGGCGGCTCGGCGAGGTGAGAGCCCGGAGCGCGACTCAGGCGGAGCGCGCTTCAGGCAGGAGAGAAAAAAAATAATTGAAACTCGATGTGGTGGGCCCTAGGCACAGTTCCCAAGGGGGAACCTGCTCGATACCATGAGAAAAGTAGAACGAGAATGAATGACTAAGGAATGGAAGTGATACAAATATGCAACCCTAGAAATTTGTACCCCATATGGGCTACCCCCACTATAGCCTACACAATATTATAATTTGACACACATCGCACTCCGTTACTTTTTCGTCAAGGACGACACTAAAAAGGGAAGGTCAAACTCACGTATTGCTCGACTGGTGACAAGGCAGCAAATTTCATGACAAAGAAACTGCCACGTCAGAAGTTTCAGCACTGCGCCGACCTCTGCGGGATCTCAAAGAAATCCCACATGGCTCACCTTCCACTATCAAGGGGAGTGTTGAAATAACTGACAGGTTATTAAGCATTCCCGAAGGTTCTCCCCTTAACGCATCGTCTACTAACAAAGCAGTGCAGCTGTACCAGTACCGCAACAGCTCATATAGAGCAAGCGGAAGTCAGATAGCCAAGCGAAGGTTACTGAAAGTCAACGGTCGCGTCTGTTGACCGAAGCGCAACTGTAATTAGATGTTACACGCTGCAACATGGTAACTCTCGATTATAGTAATAGTCGCGGCTATTGTAGCAATTCAACCCAGTTAGTAAAGGAATGTACCTCTCAGAGTACATGTCTAGCTAGATTTGCTATTTAATCTCTCTGTATTTATATCTTAATCATCATCATTCTTTTTCTTGTAACGATGTTCTATCAAGAGTTCTCAGTCTTCTTCTAAAATTAGTTGTGTTACCATAATCCTTTGATTCCTGGATTATATAAACACAGAATTGCAAGGAAACTTGGAGGAGGAATTATAAGCTTAAAATCCTTAATATAAACTATACCATGTACCTGCTTTCCTTGATTTAGAAGCTTCACTTAGCAAGCATGTTCCTTGCTGCTTCCGCAATTCTATAAAGAGGCAGAATATGAAATGAGGCAATCTCCATGCCACGTACTCACCTATTTCGGGCAGGCTATAAATGTAACCTGGACACTTACGAGATGTCGATCACATTTCATCGGATGAAAAGAGCTTACGCTTCTGATGAGCGGGCAGCTGTAAAGCAGTGCTACCGCGTCAACAACTCGAGTCGCTAGCGACGCCGCCCTCCCGTGACGCCTTCAAGTGATGGTATATTTTCCCACTGTAGCTCTAATGCATAATATCGACTTTCCGCCACAACTTACGTAAGAACTATATTTGTGAAGCAGGTAAACAATTTACAAGTTTCATCGGCCATTCTTCCCGACTGCCCATAAAATCGACGCTAGAATTCAGCCGAGCCGCGGCCCTCGTTGACTAGAATGTCGGTGGTTCGCCCGATGCTTGATGGGGGAGGGATGGGCATTTGGGCTTGGGCGGGGGCCTGGGGCCCAAAATGGCGAGAATAAATTGAGGTTGGAAATCCAATCCATTCATTCACTTGCAAGCGTCGTTTCGAGGTTCAGTCCTCTCAGAATCCCAGCCACTAGACCACTGGGATAAAAGGGCTTGTTTAAGTAGCGGGTCAGTGCGCCCATAACCCCCCAGGCAACCGTGCCTGTAACCCTTCCCTAGGATCAATCGGGGATCACCAGTGGACCTCTGACACCCCCCCTCACTGGGATGCCCGAAGTGCACACACCGGGATTCGAACCCGAGACCTTCGCTCTGATACCATCTCAGAATCCCAGCCACTAGACCACTGGGATAAAAGGGCTTGTTTAAGTAGCGGGTCAGTGCGCCCATAACCCCCCAGGCAACCGTGCCTGTAACCCTTCCCTAGGATCAATCGGGGATCACCAGTGGACCTCTGACAAGTCCCCCCGCCCACCCTTCACCGAATTCATTACAGCATGGCTCCGATGAGGCTTCTCGCTCTTCTGGTCGCAATTTCCACGATTTTGGTCGCTTTGTTTGCGCCCTCCGCTCATGCGGAGTCCAACGCCGTCGCCACTTCAGGTGTGTACCGCATTCCACTGCTGAATCAAAATCTAGCTACCTGTTGTCTTTGTTTTTCAGAATAAAGTTTATTTTGTGTTTGTTTCAATCTATCTTCGAAATCAGCAAATTCTGACGCACCGACGCATTTTTATCGCAGGATCCGAGGCGAAATTTGCCGCCAGGCGGTTCTTGGGCGACGATCACCACGACGACGATGACGATCATCACGACGATCACCACGACGACGACGACGACGACGACGACGATCACCACGAGGAGAAGAGGGAGGAGCCCAAGCCGAAGCTGACGTGCATTCAGAAGTACAAGATCAAGTACGCCAAGTGCGAGGAGAAGGAGGAGGCGTGCGTCGCCAAGGCGTCGAATTCCGACAAGAAGGAGGTGTGCGAGGCGCAGTCGACGGTGTGCGAGCGCAAGGCGTACAAGTCGTACAAGAACTGCAAGTACGGCAAGTGGGGGTGCAAAGACTGGTGCCTGTACCGCCGCCGCCAGTGCCTCAAGTGGTACAAGGCGGAGGTGTGCGAGGAGAAGTACGAGGAATGCGTTGAGAAGTGCATGCCCAAGCCCAAGCCGTCTCCGCCCAAGGAAGAGAAGCCTAAGAAGGAGCACCACGACGACGATCACCACGATGACCATCACGACGACGATCATCACCACGACCACCACGACGATTAGGTGGCGGCTTTTTCGAACGAATCCCCGTGAAAGTGCACGCCCGACGGACTCCCGTGTGATGCTGATCAGCGTAGATTCGAGCCTACGGCGAGTTTCCCCGAGGGTGCGACGAGCTGCGACGGGCAACCTCCCTCACAAGAAGGACGAATTTTGTGGGAAATTCTCGCTGACTCGATTGAAGCTGTGACTGCGAGGGAGTATAACGTCTCGTTATGCTGCTTCGAAATTGGGCTACTACCGCGTTCTTTTTCTCTTCTTGGGTGGGTTGCGTATCTTTCGCCTGTGCGATCGCGGAGATGCGTTTGGACCACGTTGAGTGACCTGGGTTTTTATGGGAAAGGGTGGTAGGAAGGGGACAGGGGGGTTGATCTAGGTGTGCAGTGTGTAGTGGGAATAATGTGTCGCTTCGCTGTGCTTTATTGTACCTGTGGTGATAATATATGCAACAATTTGGGGAAATTGTCTTCCATTCCTTCTAGCCTGTTTCCAACTGCCCCAACCATCCTCTCCTCCCACACTCCTCACCATGTACGGTAGAATGCTCTTGGGGAAAAGAACAATGTGGACAAGAGAGGATGATCTTGAAGAGACCAAGTAATAGAAGAGAGTGACCACAGCTCTGTGTTCTCCGAGTCTTGTTGCCCAATGCAACCACATGGTTAGGACAGCTTCCTGTGTGACCACTTGGTTAGGACAGCTTCTTGTGTGGCCCATTCCCCCTTTCTAGATTCCACCTTCCTGCTCCTTCATTCTTTTTTCCCATCCTTTCCTAGTTTCCACGTCATCCCTATCCCAGTCTTCCTCCCCCACACTAGATTTCCTCCTCCCCCACACTAGATTTCCTCCTCCCCATCCCTCCTCACTAAATCATCACCCTTATTACCTCAACCCACGTACAACAAACCCCCTCCACTCCTCTACCCCATTTCCCCCTTCATGCCCTCCCCGAAAAATGCAGTATCAATGCCACCTTCCATATAGTGCTTATGAGTTCCACATAGAGCATCTCCTAGCCTGGTTATTGCCTCCTGGTCTTAATGAGTACCTCTATATGGGACTCAGGAATGCCATGCTCCTCTACAAGCAGCCGAGCCAACTCTTGTATCACCTCCTGGTCTTATCGAGTACCTCTATATGGGACTTGGGAATGCCATGCACGTCCACAAGCAGCCGAGCTAACTCATCCAGAACCCCTCCCTGAATCAGCACCTCCTGCTGCCCCTTCTTGCCTGATTCGTGTGCACGCATGCATGGATGAAAAGGGAGGGTAGAGAGAGAAAGCGAGGGCATTGGAGGGGAAGGGTAGAAGATGAACATACAACACCCCTCCCTGAATCCGCACCTCCTGCTGCCCCTTCTTGCCTGCTCATGTGCACGGGTGAGTACATGGAAAGAGAGGGCATGCGAGGGGAAGAAGGTCATTGAACATCCCATCATGCACATGTACTAGTAGCAGATGAGCCAACTCGTCCAACACCCCTCCCTGAATCCGCACCTCCTGCTGCCCCTTCTTGCCTGCTTCATGTGCATGGGTGCATGGGTGTACACCACTCCTTGAAACAGCACCTTGTGATGACTTTTGAGTCGACTAAAAACGAGACGATTTTTTATTCGACTAAACAAGACGACTTTTGAGTCGGCTCAAAGACCCTTCTTGCCTGCTTTAGCCTGCTTTGTGTTGATACATGGATGGTTGCATGGTTGCATAGGTGCATGGATGGGTGCATAGGTGCATGGATAGGTGCATAGGTGCATGGATGGGTGCATAGGTGCATGGATGGTTGCATAGGTGCATGGATGGGTGCATAGGTGCATGAATGGGTGCATTGGTGCATGAATGCATGCGTGGGGAGGGAAGAGGGGGAGAGCAGGGTGCATACACCTGCTGCAGCATAACCCACCCACCTGTTGCAACAAAAGCCCACCCAGCACACCTAAACTGCCTGGCAGACCAACAGAGCCCACCTGACACACCTGAACTGCCTGGCCCACCAACAGAGCCCACCTGACACACCCGTGCTCGAAGCAAACTTTCTCTGCAGCTCAGCAGCGAGCGCCTCAGCCTCCACCAGATAAGCCAACCAGTTAGCCCACCCATCAGCCCCGGTATGTGCCACCCCCCATCGACCCAGCACCTGTTGCACCCCAACTAAACCCACCTGGCACTTCAGCCACAGAAGTGCTCGAAGCGAAATTCCTCTGCAGCTCAGCAGCGAGCAGGTCAGCCTCCACCAGATAAGCCACTCGGTGCCTGTGACCCCTGTTGCCCCCTGCACCTGTTGGCCCCACCCACCCAGTACCCGCTCACCTGTTACAGCAGAGCCCACCCCTGGCACTTCAGCCACTGAGGTGCTCGAAGCAAACTTCCTCTGCAGCTCAGCGGCGAGAGGTTCAGCCTCCACCAGATGAATTTTGAGTCGACTCACAAGCCACCTGCAACAGAAACCCACCTGGGACTTCAGCCACTGACGTGCTCGAAGCAAACTTCCTCTGCAGCTCAGCAGCGAGAGGCTCAGCCTCCACCAGATAAGCCTCCAGCCCCGACACGCGCGTCACCTTCTTGTTGCCCTGCCGCCTCTCCACCAGAATCTGCACCGGCACCAACCCTCCCTTGCGCACCACACTCTTGCCCGCCCGCTCCACCCTGTGATGCGCCTGCATGCGGCGAACTAATGTGGGACCCACGTCCCGCTTGTGGCATTCCGTGGGGTACGCCGCGCCCTTTTTTATCGCGCCTTTGTACAGTGCATCGCAGAGCGGTGCATCGAGGATGACTATAGAGGGGTCGGAGGGCTTTGTGAGGGAGTGGAGAGAGATGTAGTTGAGAGCAGCCTCGCGGGCAGCCGAGGGGGAGTAGTAGGCGTGTGGGTCGAGACCGACGGCTTCGAAAATGGCTGACACGTGGTGGGTGGGTTTGAATACCTCCTCTACTGTCAGACCCCCTCCACTGCTGCTGCTGCTGCCGCTACCGCTGCTGGTGGTTGTGGTGGTGGTGGCGGTGGTGGTGGTCGGTGCTCCAGGTGCGGCTGGGGATGCGTCAAGGGTTGCAGCAGCAGGGGTCTGGGCGGGCTTGTTTGTCTTGTCTGGCAAGAAGGCGATGAGGGTCGGGTGGCGGTAGTTGATAGCAGACATTATGAACTCCTTTCGGTGCTTGTCCTCCTTGCCGCTGATCTGATTGGGGAGAGGTATATAAATTTGTGCAGTGGGAAGAGTGTAAAGGAAGGGGTGGGTACATGCTATGTGCGGTTAAAAGCAGAAATTATGAACTCCTTTTGGTCCTTGTCCTCCTTGCCGCTTATCTGATGGGGGAGGGGGGTTGTCATCGGGAGGGGTGCGTGGGTTTAATGGAAGGGTGCAATGGGTGGGTGATGACAGAAACTATGAACTCCTTCCGGTGCTTGTCCTCCTTGCCGCTTATCTGGAGGGGGGTGATGGGGAGAGGTATATAGATTTGTGCAGTGCGAAGGGTGTAAGGGAAGGGGTGGCTACATGCTATGTACGGTTAAAGGCAGACAATATGAACTCCTCTCTGTGCTTGTCCTCCTTGCTGCATATCTGGAGGGGCAGGAGGGAGAGGTTGGGGTTGGGATGCGGGCAGAAGGGTGCAATGGGAGAGATGCAAGGGGAGGTGATACCTTGACTCAAGTGAAAAAAACGCAGATCTGAAAAACCCCCTCTCCCCCCCCCCTCTCTTCCGAAAAGCCTCCTTACGCAGAAGGGTGCAATGGAAGAGATGCAAGGGGAGGTGATAAGATGGGGAAGGATCGAGGAGATAATGGTGTATGCTTGAGAGCTTCATCCTCTCAAGCTTCATCCTCTCAGGCTTCATCCTCTCAGGCTTCATACTCTCAGCTCTCAGACCACCCACTATGGGGAGATGTATTCCTGAGAGCTGAGAGGACTTTTGAGGCGCCTCAGAACTCCTTGTGGTGCGTGTCGTCCTTGCCGCATATCTGAAAGGGTAGAGAAGGAGGCGCGGTTGGGAGGTAGATGGGTGCAATGGAATTGGTGTGTACATGCCATGGCCCATAAGTGGTTGACAGATGAGGGAATGAAGTTCTTGCGGAGCTTGTCCTCCTTGCCGCATATCTGAGGGTGGAAAGGTGTTTATCATAAGGAAGGGCGATGAGTGCAATGGGAGGGCGGTTGAGGCGCCTCTAAGGTTGTCTTGAGGATGGCCGATGAGAGCAACGGGAGGGGTGCAATGGAAAGGGTGGGTGGTACGGGTGGATTAATGCCATGGGTGGTTGATGACAGAAGGAATGAACTCCTTGCTAGCCCTCTCTGGGTAGTATGAAGGGGAGTTGGAAGTGTTAGGAAGGGGTAGATGGGGTAAACGGAAGTGTGGAAGCGAAGGGGTTGGGTTGGGTACATGCCATGGGTAGTTGGTGGCAGAGAAAATAGCACACACTCACACACAGTTGCACACACACTCACACACTCGCACACAGTCGCACACACTCTCACACACTCGCACACACTCGCACACACACGAACACATCCGCACACACCCGCACACACCCGCACACACCCGCACACACCCGCACACACCCGCACACACCCGCACACACACAGACACCTACCAGCCCCTCAACCGCCTTGGCATGCAGCCACTTGCTCAGCTTCTTGTGTAACAAAAGGATGAAGTGCGCGTGTGAGAGTATAAACCTCACACTCTCCCTCACTCACTCACCAGCCCCTCAACCGCCTTGGCATGCAGCCACTCATACTCACACGCTCTCTCTCACTCAAACTCCCTCACTCAAGCACACTCACCAGCCCATCAACGGCCTTGGCATGCAGCCACTTGCTCAGCTTCTTGTGAGACGACTTCTTGATGTCCACTGTTGTGCCGGGCGGCCGACATGGCAGCACGTGATTGGACCTGCCGTGTAGGCGGGGGTGGAAGGTTACCAGAGGGGAGGGAGGGAAGGAGGGAGGGAGGGAGGGAGGGAGGGAGGGAGGGAGGGAGGGAGGGAGGGAGGGAGGGAGGGAGGGAGGGAGGGAGGGAGGGAGGGAGGGAGGGGCAAGGCAAGCTTTCACAGAGAACCAACGACGCGAGCTGCTGATGAATTTGGAATCGTCAAGCGCATCAGAAATCGTTTTTTTGAACGCCATGAGACCTAAGTTGACATTGTACGTTTACGCTGGTTTACGTTTACGCAACTTTACGAAGTAAACTTACGTTTCCGTACGCTTGCCTGATATGGGTTTACGTTTACGGTCAGCTAAAAAACTTTTCAAGCCTGCCCGGATAAAAAAAAGTCATGCAGAGCACACAAGACTTCTTCAAGAACACACTGTCACCAGAAAACTGAGCAAAACACTACTACTTATCTTTCTCCAAGGGTGCCATCCCATCCTCATCATCCTTGTAGCAACTATCTTCCAAATCATCATCGTCCATGGGCTCATAGACATCCGGTATCTCGCGTTCACGGATTGTTGGCAGCGCTGAAAGTTTCAGCTTGTTCTCGAAGTCCAAGTTCAGCCTTCGCACGGTGTTGTAGTTGTGCGTTACGTACACCAAGTCGGCGAGCCTTTTTGCACCGAGGCGGTTGCGGCGGGTCGTATGAATCCCCTCCCATATCCCCCAGTTGGTTTCACAAGATGATGCCGAAACACACTGCTTGAGGACCTTTGGTGCAAGCTTTGAAAGGTGGGGCAAATGCGATCCGTTGAACTCCCACCATTGAGCCGGATCCATCTTCCCTTTCTTGATGAGGTCCTTCTCAATCCGCGCCTTTTCCTCACCAAGCTCCCCCTCCCCTTTCATGTACGCCCTGATTTCCCTCTCCACAATGGTTGCAACGGGGTGCCGGTCCCCATCTTCATCGACTACAAACTCTCCTTTGAAATAGTCCCGGATGAAGCCTCTGAAAATGTCGGAACACTCCCGGTCGGTGCCAACAATGTTCTCAAACTGGTTGGGGGGGTAAAGAATGCGCCCAACAACGTGCAACGCGCAGTTGATGGAATTATTCCACCTGTTTCGCACCGCTTCAGCAATCCATTCTTTCTCCTCTTCCGGTAAATCCTTGCATGCGTCTCGCACCGAGTCCTCTAGAAGGAACATCATGTCATATATCTTGCCCATGACTTCTTGCGTACCATCAACCGCCCTGAGCTGCACGTAGATTGGTTTGAAAACCTTGAGCACTCGGACCACTCCATCCCAAAACTCATCACACCTGATCACGTCACGCGCCCACACCAATTTCTCCTTTCCCATGGTTCTGTCCTTCCACGCTTGGCTGGCCACCAAGCGATCCAGCAGTTCCCGGACCTTAAGTAGGCGTTCTAAGGCGATGAAGTTCGTCCCGAAGCGTGTTCCCGCAGGCTTGAGCAGCACGAGAGAATTCTGCTCGCGAAACTGGCCGGTAATCCAATGTGAATTCTTCAAAATGGAGATCAGCTGCTGCCCCTTGGTAATAGTCTCTGCTGCCCACTCACGGCCGCCGATATCCTTCATTAAGTTGTTCAATGAGTGAGCAGCACATCGAACAAACTGAATCTTGGGATACTGCAGCTTGATGATGTTGGACGCGCTCACGTTGTTGCTTGCACCATCCATCAACAAGCCAACAACGTTCTCAGCTCCAACGATGTCGATTGCCCTCAGGAAGTGTGATGCGATGAAGCTTCCTGTCTTCTTCACGTCCTTGCAGTCGACACCAAAGAGGAATATGGCACCGTAGGTGTTAACCGCGAGAAAATTGAGTTGAGGACGATCTTGAGTGTCCGTCCATCCATCACTCGCGATGCACACACCCACATCGCTCCATGAGTCCATGATCGGCTTCACGGCCTTTTCGGTATTGGTCTTGCACTCTTGAAGGAGCCGACCCATGATGAGTTGTCGTCCTGGAGGGTGGAAACCGGGACCGGCAGCCCCCACTTTCCTTATCATATGCTTGAACGTATCGTGCTCTGCCACATGGGGGGGGATGCGACAAACGTGAAAGAACAGCGCAATGGCCTGCTGCGCGCTAGCGATGTCACCGGCTCCTGGACGACATTCCATAAGGGTTTTCTGCTTCGCTGGTCGCTTACGTCCGCTGCTACTGGTAGGCTCGTCCTTGGAGCTACTACCGGAGCTATTACTCCCAGTCAGACTCGTCATTGCAGCCAATGTACGGCTTGCTGCCGATTTGCGCGCCTGCGCATTCCGATCTTTCTGCACAAGGTAATCCTGAATTTCTGCTACCGCTTCAGGCATCACTTTCAAGCATGGACTAACGCCGCCTCCGCTTCCGAGGAGGTGAGCTTGAGCGCGGGTCACGGTGAACGGCCAATCGTTGTTACAAAACTTGCAACGCTTTGGAATTTTTGAATCTGACTTTCCTCCTTTGGGAACTTCGTAGTGGCGCCAGATGAAGTGATCATCGCCTAATGCTACCTTTGCGGGATCTGCCTTGGTTGCGGGATCTGCCATGGTTGCGGGATCTGCCATGGTTGCAAGGACGCAGCCGAGTACGTAGAACTAGCCAGATCTAGATTCAGTCTCTTGTGCTCTAGATAAAACTCTGGTTTGAATGCTGGTTTGTACCCTCAAGGAGTGACGATCCCTCTTCCCATTCGCGAAATTCCGTCGCAAAGGTGTGCTGCAGCGAAGGAGAATTTTGTAACGAGTCCACACATTTCCGTGTGCATAGAAGGTGTGCACGAAAGTGTTGGTGATGGAAACGCGTTTGAGCTTCCACGTGTCCCAAAATTGTTGGTTTCACGCATCTTTCCAACAGATTGGCATAGTTGGCGAAAATCAATTCCGTTGACTCGATTCGCTATCAGCTTTGCGACAGATCTGCATGTTCGTCGCAATCTGAAACAGTTGACTCAACATACGACCCACACCTCACCTATCGCAACCAACTATTCTACGCACGGCTATTTCGTAAGCATACTACCAAGTCTTCCTCCCAGTCATTCGTAATCTAGAAGTCCAGTTTCCTAGTAGACACAGTCGCGCGACCTAGTAAGGCTTTTAGATCCAGTCCGTAGTACCCAATACCTAACGCGACCTTAGTCCGTCCAATCGTTCGCGTCGTACTGCCCTTGTCATTCGCGTAATAAGACATAATCTCTGGTTATCGATCTTGCCCACAGAAATTCGAGGGTATTTTTTTTTTTTTTTTTTCATCCTGCCCGTTCGACTTTACGTAATATTACGCGTAAGAAAACGTAAACGTAAAGGCATGCGTAAATGTACGTCTACGCGTCCCAAATGGACGTAAAGTACCAACTAAGCATGAGACGACTTTTCAGGCGCTTTTTTTCAAAAAGGAGGTTACCAGAGAGAGCTGGCTCCCAGGGGCAGGTGGGCGGGCTTGACAGAGACGGAGAGGGCACTTTTGAGAATGCCACCTGTGCTGGTGTCAATGCCACCTGGGAGGGAGGTTACCAGAGAGCGGCTACCAAAGGGGAAGCTTACCAGAGAGAGCTGGCTCCCAAGGGCAGGTGGGCGGGCTTGACAGAGACGGAGAGAGCCTGCAGCAGACAGCCCAGGCCTAAGAGTGACTATGAGGGAGGGCGCATATAGAGGGAGCCTTACCAAAGGGTGCTAGCTCCCAGCGGCAGGTGGGCGGGCTTGACAGAGACGGAGAGGGCCTGCAGCAGAGAGCGATCCAACAACTCATCCATCTGTGCCGGTGTCAATGCCATTGCTGCTGCTGATTCTGCAGTTTCCTCTGCAGCAGCTGCTGCTGCTCTTTGATCCCCCTCGCTGCCCCCAACCGCAGTATCAGCACTAGCAGCAGCAGCAGCAGCAGTGTCATGCATGCCTAGATGCTGCAGAGATTCTGACAGCTGCTCTGATGAAGCTGCTGCTGCTGCTCCCTCCTCCATGACCGCACCTGCCTCTCCCCCCTCATCACCCCTCCCCTCACCCTGCCCCGCCTCCCCTTCCCCCTCGCCAGCCCCAGCAACACCCAAGCCGCCACCAGGTGAATCTTCAGGTGCTGCTCCATCTGACGGAACAGGCTCGGCATCAGGGTCGGGCACAACCAGGTCCGGCAGGAAGCCCTTGTTGGGGACGTACGAGCCCTCTGATGTCTCCCTGTGAGCACAGGAAAGGCGGGGGGGGAGAGGGGGGGGGCGTGGGAGATAGTAAGAAGGATAGACAGGCTCAAGCAGGTCCCGCAGGAAGCCCTTGTTGGGCATGTACGAGCCCTCAGCTGTCTCCCTGTGGGCACGGTGGGGAAGTGGGGAGGGAACGGAGCGTCAAGTGGTGGTGGTCCATTTGGAGGAGAAGAGCAGGCGTGGCATCAGAATTGGGCACCACCAGGTCCGGCAGGAATCCCCTGTTGGGCACGTACGAGCCCTCTGCTGTCTCCCTGAAATCACGAGAAGCGGGGAGGGGGGGGGGAGGGGGGGAGAGGAGCCTGGATAGTGGGCAGGTCCCGCAGGAAGCCCTTGTTGGGCACGTACGAGCGCTCTGCTGTCTCCCTGTGGGCGTGGGTTGGTGCGGAAGAGAAAGGGATTGCACAAGCGTTGAGCATGAGAGCAGGAGAACAAGCAGCGCACAGACAGGCACGACCAGCCAGGCCCGGCAAGAAGCCCTTGTTGGGCACATAGGAACCCTCTGCCGTCTCCCTGAAAGCACGGGAAAGGGGGAAGGAGGGAGCGTTAGGTGGTGCTCCCCATGAGGCAGAGCAGCGCAGGCATAACAAGTGAGTGGGGATTGGGGTGGATTTCATACTGAGTGCAGTAGTATTGGGACACATGTGGGGTTGCTGACCAAAGTGAGTCATGGCAATAGTGGGTGATTCGAAGGAGCTTCCCTCTCATGCCTGCTCTCACGGTCTCTTGTGTGAGCGGACAGCGAAAGAGTGGGTGGGAATTGACACCACAAGGAGGATGTGAGTGGACAGAGAGAGTAGAGTAAGGTGGAATGCAGTGCTGACCAGAGCGAGTCACGGTAGTAGTGGGTGATTCGGAGGAGCTTCCCTCTCATGCCGGCTCCCACAGCATCCGCACTGCCCACCATCGTTATGCCCACCTGCGTGCATGGGAGATGTGTGGGGATGAGAGGGGAGAGAGGGGAGAGAGGCGAGAGAGGGGAGAGAGGGGAGAGAGGGGAGAGAGGGGAGGACAGTCAGTGAGCATGGAAAGTGGGGAGCAGGGACATGTGCTCTCACGGCCTCTGCACTGCCCACCATCGTTATACCCACCCGGTGTGCACGGGGAATAGTGGATGGGCGATGGTGGGTGGGGCGGGTTTTGAGTCGGCTCAAAACACGGGCTCTGCAGTGCCCACCATCGTTATACCCACCCGGTATGCATGGGAGATGTGTGGGGAGTGAGAGGGAAAGGCGGGCCGGAGATTGGTTGGGTGGAGAGCAGTGGAGCAGGGTGGATGGAACAGCATGGAGTAGAGTGAATCGAGTGGACCAGGATAGAGCACGGTGGAGAACGGTGGAGCAGCATGGAGTGGTGAATTAGGGTGGACCAGGATACAGCACGGTGGAGAACGGTGGAGCTCAACAGCGGTGCAAATTTGTGATGCAAGGAGACGAGCACGTACAGCAATTGGGCAGGAGTTTCCTGGAACCTTCACAGACCACACCTCCCCTGGTCGAAATGCTGGCAGGCCTTCCGCGGGCACCTGGCGGCAGACAGAGGAGTGCAGAGGGAAGCAGAGGGGTGAAGAGGCGTATAGAGGGGTATAGAGGAGAGCTGAGCCTGAAGTTTTGCCCACTTGACTGCAATCGACCCTCATTCTCGCCTGGAGCCATGAAGCCAGCCCCTGATAGCACGTAGCAGGAGTCCTCCCAGGTACTAGAAGCTGCTCTCTACCCTCTTCCTGTACCCTAATGCCCTATACCCTAAACCCCCACCTCACTCTCACCTGCACGCCCGGTGCCATGAGGTCAGCCCCTGACAGCACACAGTGGGAGACATCTGAAGTACTAGAAGATGCACTCTACCCTGTCCCTATAACCTACTGCCCTGTAACCTACTCCCCTGTAACCCAGTGCACTGTACCCTAAACCCTCATCCCTCTTGCACCTGCACGCCCAGTGCCATGAGGTCAGCCCCTGACAGCACATAGCGGGATACCTACCAAACACAAGACGCTGCACCCTAGAAATCCCCCCTACTTCGCAATACCAAAACCCCCACCTCACTCGCACCTGCACGCCTGGAGCCATGAGGCCAGCCCCTCACAGCACGTAGCAGGAGACCTCACAAATTCTAGAAGATGCACTCTACCCTCTCCCTGTAACCTACTGCCCTGTAACCCATTGCACTGTACCCTAAACCCCCACCTCACTCTCACCTGCACGCCTGGCGCCATAAGGTCAGCCCCTGACAGCACGTAGCGAGACACCTCCCCACCCTTGAGCAGGAAGGACGGAAGCAGGTCCGGCACAAGCCACAGCGCAAACACTGGGACGGGATGGGGTATGAGGGTTGGGTTGACAAGGGTTCAGGGTTTCGGGGTTTGAGGCAACTGTTGCGTCAACTTGGAAGTCATCACCTCCCTCCCTGCCCTTGAGCAGGAAGGATGGCAGCAGGTCAGGCACAAGCCACATTGCAACAATTGGGGATGGGGAGTCAGGACTGGGTGGTTTGAGAGGCAGAATTTGAGGGTATAAGGATGAAGGTCTGGAATCGAGGGGTTCAGGGTTTGACATGAGGAGGGTGAACAGCAGGTGGCTGTTGAGCTGTGGTGAAGATGATTGAAATGAAATGATAGCATGTGACGGGAATGGAAGGCACACATGAAGCACGTGCAATGGACGGCGGGAACAACAAATGTGGAGATTTGGAGGAAAGGGCGAAGACCAAACCACACGATTGAAGTCGAGAAGAGTGGAGGGAGAGAGGGGAGGGGAGGGGGCGGGGAAGGGAGGGAGGGAGGGAAGAGCGGAGAAGTTTGTATGAGTATCTGTGTGGTTACATCGGTATGGTTACATGGCCGTGTGGTTACCAGTGGGGTAGATCTCGGTGCCCCTGCCGTCGCAGTCGAAGAGCATGGGCAGCCCGCTCTCGAGTCCGTACACCAGCACGCGATTCACCAGCCTCGTCACCGTCACGTCAGCCTGGACCACCGAACAGGCAGGCGAGTTCCAATATAATAAAAAGAAGAAAATGACGCTGAAGAGAGCAGGAAATCCGGTAAGCGCAGGCATCAGTAGAGGTGAATGACGCGCTGCACTAGCTGAAATCACTTTTGAGAATCGTCAAAAGTGATTCCAATAGAAGATCACAACATATCATATCCTAAGTGGAGGCTCTTGCGGTCATATCATATCATATCATATCATATCATATCATATCATATCATATCATATCATATCATATCATATCATATCATATCATATCATATCATATCCTATCCTATCCTATCCTATCAGATCATATCATATCCTCGATTCAACATGCGAATATCACAAGGCGAATGCGGGGGACGCAGAGGTTAACTGGGAGGTAATACACGAGGGTTCAAGCGGTAAGTTTCTAAGGAGCGGCGGCAGGACCGCTACTAAGGAGCACCTTGGGCGGCAGGATCGCTTCTAGGGAGCACCTTGGGCGGCAGGATCGCTACTAAGGAGCACCTTGGGCGGCAGGATCGCGTCCAGTTGTTCGTCAGTGGCGCCTTGGAACTTGTCTCGAATGTTTCGCCGAAGCTTCTTTCTGTCCGCTCCTGACAGACGCTGCTGCCCGCGAATGTCGCTCGGCTTTTTGAACATGACGGCGATCGTACGGCCTGAAAAATCGGATGGATTGAAATCTCGAAATTTCTTCCCTTAGATGCAAGCACTCCGAAGTCGCGGTTCGAAGAAGTATGTGGTGGGTGGGGAATGAAGACCAGCAGGAATGAGTGAAATAGGCTGAAGCGAGCATGGAGGCATCTGGTCAGGGAGTGTCTCACAGGTTCGATTGAATGCGGTCCGATAAGTCGTTTTTGCGTTCTACAGCGGTACATAAAGCAACTAGATTGGCTGGGTACGGTTGGGAGTACTCGGTCAGGTGCCCACGAGATTTCATGTTGGTCCAAACAAACCGAACTCGTTTTCTGTTTCGTGGTTACACCTATCAACGAAACAGAGTGCTTATTCCCTGTAAAGACAATTGCGAAATGTTCGCCTCACCTCACACGTCCCTAACTGGAGTTCGCTAATGGAGACGCCCTACGACTGAGGATAAAATTCTGATTTCTATCTGGCTGCTTACCTCCCTAATTGTTACCCTCCAGCTTACTCAGCCAGACGGAAAATTAGGTTACGTGACTAATTGCGGCCTAGGTTACACGAATTTAGTAGCACTTAAGGTAACAATTTTAGCTCGCATCGTACTTGCCGTGTTAGTCATTATTCTCGGCAATCGACGCCGCTAGTTGCTAAGAAGGTCTTACTCTCCGATCCAATTCACAATGTAAATTTTGCGACATTCTGGGGCGCCTTCATTTTCTGTTTCGAAAGGCCGAAGTCCACTTCTTTGGTGTCGCAGCACGATTCGGAAAACGAGCTGATTTTTAGATTCCTGGCACTTGCTTGATCTTCGAAATTGCTTCTCGCATGAGTGCCGCCACTCTCGTCGCTTCCACCCAGGTGCACGCAGATACACAGTAACTGTTGGCTACCATATAACGATATTAGCTGTTCAAAAGATGCAGCGCAAGGGTTAAAGCAAGCATATGCTTAGTGGACAAAACATATTACAATAAGATACACTGTGTGGCTCATTGACATCCAGGCACATCACCTAAAATCCATCTCACCCAAGCACCCACGAACACCCACACTGAGAACACTAACATAAATGCACACCCATGCAGAAGGACCAGGAGAGGAATGAGCACACCCTCATGGCGCCAAGGCTAATCTCCGTTGCAGCAAGCAGAAGCCCCCTCGTCTTTCCCCCTCCGTTACTAGTATTAGTATTACAATAGTATTACACGCTTCCAGTCTTGACAGCGGGCCCGCTGGGTGTTGCTAGGCGCTGCTCTTGGCGACTGCTGGACCGGCAGAGATCTGCGGACAGAAGGACAAGGTAGGAAGGTGACACGAGTCAGTCTCACAGCAGATGCACACACGGGCGAGTTGGGCTCAGCATAGACTCCATAGACACTTCCGCCCTGCAAAAAGGTCAGCGGTATGGCCTTTCCATGCGACGCACGTGTTGGCACCATGATGGCTGAGCCCCACAGCACATGCACACGCGGGCGAGGTGGGCCACACATAGACTCTCCAGACTCAGCCGCGCTGCATAGGGACAGCTGGTATGCGGCGCTCATGGACATGAGGCTGAGCCTCACAGCACATGCATACGAGGGCGAGGTGGGCCCCACAGAGTCTCTGCCGCGTTGAGAGGAGCAGATGTTATGACCGTTCTATGCGGCGCACATGCCGACATGATGGCTGAGCCCCATAGCCAGTGCACACGGGGAGGTTGGTTGGCAACACCGTGACAGAGAAGAGAAGACAAGTGCGGAAATGATACAAGAGAGGCTCTCATCAAACATGCGTCTTCTCTCACCAACATGCATCACCCTCTCACAATGCACATCACCCTCTAAACAACATGCACCGCCCGCTCACCAGTCTGACATGCTGCACTCCTTGAGCTGTTGATCACGCTTCACAAGGCAGTCCATGATCTCCTGATTGGTGGGGTCTTTGCCTTTGATCAAGCCAAAAAGGTACGTCTTGGGCTGTGTGCAATCTTTACTCTTCACATCATCGCACTTAGTCACGCCTGCAAAAGGGCGAGCAAGGAGAGATGAAGAGGGGCGGCAGCAAGAAGGGCGACGGCAAGGAGAGTTGAAGAGGGGCGGCAGCAAGAAGGGCGACGGAAAGGAGAGTTGAAGAGGGGCGGCAGCAAGAAGGGAGACGGAATGGAGAGTTGAAGAGGGGCGGCAGCAAGAAGGGCGACGGCAAGGAGAGTTGAAGAGGGGCGGCAGCAAGAAGGGCGACGGCAAGGAGAGTTGAAGAGGGGCGGCAGCAAGAAGGGCGACGGCAAGGAGAGTTGAAGAGGGGCGGCAGCAAGAAGGGCGACGGCAAGGAGAGTTGAAGAGGGGCGGCAGCAAGAAGGGCGACGACAAGGAGAGTTGAAGAGGGGCGGCAACAAGAAGGGCGACGGCAAGGAGAGTTGAAGAGGGGCGGCAGCAAGAAGGGCGACGGCAAGGAGAGTTGAAGAGGGGCGGCAACAAGAAGGGCGACGGCAAGGAGAGTTGAAGAGGGGCGGCAGCAAGAAGGGCGACGGCAAGGAGAGACAGTCTGAGTGGGCTTCTCATTGGGGGTATGGGCCGCTTGGAATTGAGATTGAGCTACATGAAGAGGAGCGGCAACGGACGGCCACGATTTACCTCCATACTTGAGCTGTTTAAAGGCGTGCACTAGTCCCTTACAGTTGGTAATACCGTATTAGTGACTATCTAATACATCGCGAAAAAGGGACGTTCAAAAAGTCACTCAGAATACACTCTGCCGCGACTTCCTCGATAACTTCTGCCCGGCACTTTCAAGTCAAGGTTTTAGAACTGCATAGCATCTGTAACTGACAAACCAACTACCCAGTCACTATTCCGCTGCATTCTGTACACATGCGTGTATCAAATCGGATACTACACCTGCTACGTTGTCGTTGCAAAACCGTGACAATGAACACCACATGAAAGCTTACCAAACCTAACCTTTCCAACCGACTAAAAAGTTGCAACTATGCAACCCCAACTGCCATCCGTACTCGACAACACACGTGGCATCCAGTATCAACCCGATGGTCCACGTAAGCGTTCACCCATCAAAACGTACCCTCACCCCATCCGTTAGATTTACCGTTTGTTTACGCAATCTACACGGTTCACGTGTCGCCCTGTCAGCTACTCGCACATCATGTTACTCCTTCGGGAGCACCACCTCGCGACTACTCGCTGACACATCGCACTCGCATCTTCTCCGTCCATCTCCTCATCAATCAGCCCGTAAATACATGACGCTTGGAACCAGCCCAGCGGTGCTCACGTCGCAACTCTCGTGTACGAGACCCACTAGGTTTTTAACACTTGGCATCCATCGGAGGGCGCATCATGCCTTTCCTCCCTATCCAACATTGCACCCTCGCCGTACAAATGTCGCACCGCCACAATCTCGTTTACTTCGCCATATTTCTCGGCACCCAATCGTTTTGCTCACGATACACGTTTGCGACTCCATTCTCACCGTCCATCTGCACACCTAGTCTGCAAATCCCCGCTGCCACGTTGTTCTCACAGCCGCGATCTACCCCGTTCACTTGCCTTCGGATCGTCCACTCGCACATCTAGTAACCATCCATCCATCTCCTCGCCATAAGCCTTCGCTCAATGTGCGCGAAATAATATTAACCGTACACCTGTCGCGTCCTCGCCGAATATCAACACGATCTCCCAACCAGTACGCCATCACTCCTACACGTAATTTTGATAGTTCTAACGTACACCAGAGTGACACGCGTAGTTTTGTCCGTGCGTGTCAAATTGGGCATAGGTTCCACAATAATGCTTATCCATGATGATATCCAATCAGAACGCCTCACGCCCGCACTGTTGTCACGGGCACGTCCTACCCAGTCACGACATATGGAACCCTCCACGACTCGCGCAGCCAAATGCGGCGCACTATTAGTCTGCCCGCACACCTGGTTCCGTCCTGCATTTCGCATTGTACATCATCCTCTACTTGCCTGTGTTATCTCGAACATCAATTACCCCAAACGACTTCTCCCATTCATAACACGGTCGCACATAATGAGTACCACAACTCCTAACTACACCCGTCCTCTTCAACGCTCAATCACACACATGCAACCCCCTTACCCCACATATCCAAACTTCCAACACCGCACAAATAGCCCTCTTCTACGCATCTCTTCAGCTGTCCCTTCAACCGTTCACCACCAGCATCCTCTATTGACGGTCTACTCATCACCAAGTGACGCCGAAAGGTCGTCATCCCCTACGATGCCTTGCAGCTTGGTGGTGGCCGCGGGCTTCATGTGCTCCAGGCCGCACGTAGAGATGCGCAGGCCATGGCGCCCCCAAATCCACGCTTCGCGCTCCGCGTCATACTCGGGGTTGCGGATACGGATCACCCTCTCCACGGCCTCCTTGACCAGGACCTTGAGCCCATCCACCACGTGGGCGTTCCCGCCCGCCGAGCTGGAGAGCCGGCCTTTCCGCGCCTCCCAGTAGAGGACGCAGTCGGAGACCTGCGCCCAACACAAAAAGCGTCAGTCCATGCATTTTCAGTAGGATGCATACCCCTTCAACCCTCGCGCGCACACACTCACCACATGCTCCAACCAGGCTAGGTGGTACACCTTAAGGGTCATCACCAGCCCTGCCTTCTTCGTCTTGAAGGCAGCCTTCGCACATGTCGCGAACGCCCGGGAGGCAAACGGCATGCCATCCCTGTCGTGTGCCCAGCTGGTCAGCACTAGAGTTTCTGCACACCACATCCAAAGCGTGGGTATCAATGTCCACAATTCTCGCATTGGTGCATGTCTACAAACGGTCGACGACTCCAACGGTCGTCTCATGCACTCACCAGGGGGGTCAGCGCCAAGCCCAATGCGCTCCCTTATCTTGTCGATACTACGCTCCTTTTCAGGTGCCCACGGGCTGGATGCATCCCTGTCGTCCCGGAACAGGCCGAGCTTGGGAAGTGCAATGTCTCGCACGCGAGCGGCAGCCCTTGTCTTCCACTCCGACAGCGTCTTGTTGAGATCCGCCCGTCGCGACTTGTCAGCCGCCAACGCCAAACAGGCGAAGCTGTGAGGCAGGCGGTCCAGCACCGCGCACACTCCGTGAGTCTTATCGTCGCTGCTCGGGTAGAAGGTCATCGACGACGTGGGCCTGTTGAGAAACAAGTGAACTCTGGCCAGCTCGCACACCTGCTGCGCATCCATAGTATACACCATCACCAACATCAGCATTCACCTAGTACCATCAACGTGTACAGACTGCAACCCATTCCGGACGGGAATTTACTCAACCAAGATGGAAACATGCCCGCTCACCTTCCACGCCTTATCTGTCGGCAGATGCGCCAACGCGCGTTGCAGAATAGGAGACTTTGCAGTACGCATATGACGACCACCAGAACCATGCGTATCTTCCTCGTCGTCCTCTCCGTCATCGTCCGACCCGCCGCTCCATGTCTCGCCACGCTTATGCTTCGGGTTCAAGCACCCCTGCTCTGGGTCTCTCTGCTTTCGAGCCTTACGCTTACGAGATCCACCAGAACGCTCCGCCATTGCATTCAAAAATAGCGCCTCCAACCGCGCGTTCTCCTTGGCGCTCCTGTCCTGAGCCCGGATGAGTTGCTCTAGAACCCGGCTCGAGATGCGCACGTCATGGCCGTCGGTGTCCACTGGGGTCGGGCATGCGCGGTGCACATGCCCGTCCACATGTCCTCGGCCTTCGCCCCGATACACATCCGTCTCCCCCGCGCCCCGACTTTCGCGCCCGTCTGCTTTGGGTGAAGCGGTTCCCGCACACCCATCGCCGGCCGTCTTCCCTCCAGTGGCAGGTTTGCCGGATTCTTCGGGTGAGGCTGAGGCCGATGTGTCTGAGTCTGCCTCGCCATCCTCTTCATTGCGCTCGGACGATGAAGCACTCTTTGCACCAGTGCCGTCATCTGCGATGACACAGAGGCTCCATACAAGCACGGTACCACATGTCAGCTATACTTTTTGGGCACTGGGATTCATACGTATATACAATGCGAACAGCCGCATGAGTACAACGAGTCACTCATCCACGCTCTTTCTGCATACCTTGCTCATGCTGTACCACCTCGTCTCCCTTCTTGGTCACGCTCAGACGCTTAGGCAGTGTCGGCCCGCGTTTCCCGTTAGACAGCCGACCGCGCGGCAATGTCAGCTGATACGACGCTCGCAGGTACACCGGCGGGTTAGATACACGACGGGCGCGCCCTACCGTCAGAGTATCCTCTGAAGCAAGCGAAGTATCCATTGTAGCAACAATAGTATCCAGTGATGTAGTCACAGAATGACGGGCGGTTCTATACTTATACATATACCCCAACTTCTTACCACACTTGATGCCCATCATGGGCAGTGAGTTAGGTGGGCAATACGACTTCGTGTCTGTTTGGATGACCGCAATCCCAAACGGCTAATACATGCACACCACGTCATCCGCCGCCATGTACATGTGTGCACACATAAACCACACACCGCGCACATCATGGCGACACAACCGTATCGGTGGAACTCGTTTGTACGTACATCTTCTCTCATGAAAGTGTTCACTCTGCACGTTGTTGACGTACATCCTTTCATTATACATGTCACCAATAGCTCGTTACACTACCACACAATGTACCGAACATTTGACCACCATAGTGTAAGCAATAGCCTTCGCACCCATCAATTACGAATACCAGCAGAAAAACTACCGCCCTGCACATCTCCAACAGAATTACTCGAAAACGATACCGCACAATTGCTTTCATGTGTACGTCTATGCATCTACACCAACTACGCAGGATGTTCTGCCAACATCTCATGTGCAGCATACTCTTCGACACCCTCCTCGGCTTCCTTGTGCCGAGCACACCCGCTGCTACCGTTGTGCACAGGGGCCGTTCCCCCACTCTCAGCATTGTAAGGGTCGTCTGGTTCGTTGGCCGCCTTGTTTCTATCCACCACCCTCTGCCTCTTTGGTGTGCGCGTGGGAACCACTCGCTTCCTCCCTTGTTTCATCTTCCAGTTCACGCCCTCCCTCGCCTCCCGCCAGCTCCGCCACCTCCACCACTTCCGCGCTTCCACCAGGAGCTGCAGATCTTCCTTGGTGCATCCACGCAGCATCGCCTTCTCTGCGGCTGACAGACTGACCGTGTTGGGTATCTTGTCTCGTGGCCTCAGGACGAACGCACCTGCGGCGTACGCATACGCCGCCTCCTCCTCCGATGTGTATGCACCCAGCCGCTGTTGCCTACGCTTTCCTCCTTCTTTGATCAGGATCTTCACGCCAAACTTGCCTGATGCTTTCTCCAACTTCACTCCTGTGTACTTCGTTACACACGTGTCGTCACCATCCTCTTCGTCCTCCGTGTCTGACACGAGATCCTCCTCTTCTTCTGCCTTCACCGTCTCGTGGCCGCTCGTATCTCCCCACGCATCAGCTCCAGCCCGCACCGTCACCCCGAGCAGCGGTCTCCCGCGGGTGAACATCCAGTGAGGTATGGTCCCTCCCGACATCAGCGGGTTTTGCAGCAAGCGCGCTGTCGGATCACATGCAGCGAACGATGAGGCCAGCGCAACACGGGTGGCATTGCGTACGACATCCTCCTCTGGACTGCTGTCAACAAGCCTTTTGCGCCCGGATGGACGTTGTGGAGTCTGTGGGGCATTCTTGGTGCCACCTGCCTCTGCTTTTGCGCCGGATCTCACGGGGTTGCCTTGCATCAGTAGTTGGGTTGCAGCGGACACCACCTCCTCGCGCCTCAATCCCACAAAATTGGATATGACGGTGAAGCTCGCGTCCAGGAACATCACATCGTTCTTCATAGTCGCAATTTCCCTCATCATCGCCGTAACCCGTGCGTCATCCCCGGCTTGACTGACCGGTGCTTGCCTCACATCTTCGATACCACCGTTCCTCTCCCGCACTACTGTCTCCCCCTCTGTTACCCGGCCTGCGTCCTGCGGGGGAATTTCGATCCCCAGTGCTTCCAACTGCTGAATGAGATCTCCGGTCGCGTGTGCGCACAAGTCGCGCCGCATCTCCCGCCGGTATTGGTGCGGCGTCACTCCATGAAACCAGAGCCCGCTCAATAACGTGGTGAAGTCGGACATCACCAGGGTCTTCAGGTACTGGCAAACAAAAATCCCACAGTCCTGCTTGTTCGGCTGCTGTGGCAGCTTATCCTCCTGCACTTCGACAAACGCACACTACAGTTAGCAATCCGTCTACCCTCGTAAACATTGTGCACACATGTATGCGCATTCACTGGTGCCCTCACCCGTAATATTATGCACTCCGCATCCAATAGGAGCTTGTCAACAAGCTCCATGTTCGCGTCGGGGTTGCTCGCCTTCGCGAGTTCGGACAGCACTCTGCACGTTACAGGCCGAAATCGTTAAAACAAGTTATGCATCAGCTGCCAGCGACATGCAACGTCGACAGTGAACCCCGTACTCACAGCTTGATGCCTGCAAAAATCATGCGGGTGTTCCTTGTCTTTATGCTACTGTCCAGCAGGACCAACTTCATTCGCTCTTTGCCTTCGGATTCCGCGGACTTGGTAAGCACCGATGGAGATACAGCGATGACGAGCGAGTAGTGCTCCCTACGCTCAACATGAGAGGGTATGTTGGGATTAGGGTTAGTCAACCATCGGTGTCATGCTAAAGAATCCACTCACGAACCGAATACTTGTGATACGTACCCCTCTAGCACAGGGATCGCGAGATAGTCGTGCTGCAGTAGAGGAAGCCCGTTCCCCAGCGTCAAAGGCGCACCACACGAGTTCGTCTGGAAGTACGCCTTGCAGTCCAAGGCAGCCCATGTTTTCCCGTCACGGAGAGTCGACTTCCAGATGCTAAGCAGCCTGCACAGGTAATGAACAAGAAATAACAAAGCGTATTAGATGTTGCCCATACATCAGATACTACGCAACAAAGCGTCAACCAAGTGACCTCAGTGAAGATACTTACACGTTGTGAAAGTCTAGCACACCATCAGTGATCCACTGATCATCCTCGATCGACATGAGGTCGTCCTTATCCACCTCGCACCCGACGCCGCGGTGATTTATAAGCGTCATGTTTGTGTACGAAGACTTCATGTAATTCCGTGCGACGAGGGACACCAAATCTTCCTGCACCTCCTCCCGCGCCATATCCTCCTTAGTCGTAGCAAACTTCATGGCCCTTCCGGAGGCCTTAGTTGGCGGGATCGGCCCTGGATTCTTCATGTTAGACTCTGCATTTTTCGACGACCTAGTTCTGCACGTCGGCGGGGCAGGATCTTGGTCGTCGGAGCCGCTGCTATTTTCGGGTTCATAGAACCTGTTGCGCTTAGATGTCAACTGCTTAGGTTTCGCCATCTTTATCTATCAACGACTAGAATACAAACTACCCTGGCTTATGAAGACGCGACCAGGGTGGGTTGGCAGGAGGAACACATTTACGGGGAGCGCAAGCGTTGAGGATACTATGGAAAATGAAGGAGATAGAAAGGCGTAACCCTCTAGGATCATGCACATCTGGTGTGACCGTCGTGTAGAGCTACATAGATGTACACCGTTGGCGCAACCGTGCATGCGATGGCCAGGTGTGATGCGACCACTCGAGAGGATGTGATGGTTCAGCGCCATGCAGATCCACGTGTGCTAATCCTAGGGTTTCAGATGCTGTGGTCGGTGGCTGAAGCCGAGTTACCAAGCATCGGCATGCAAGCGAATGCACGGTAGTTCGAATTTTTTGATGAGAAGGCCGAATGACGCGAAGTATGGTAACGATGTACGTCGTGTGGTGAACATACGTGTATGTGTCTCTTCGCGCGCCGAGTCCAGGTTTTATGCAATCGATGCGTACATGGTTATTAAACTTGTATAACAATAACACGCGATTGCAATGTGTTATGTTACGTCAGTTCAAGGTGGTCAGAGTTTGGAAAAAATGTTGTTACCCTACATGACAAATAATCAAATATATGCAATGGTTGTTGGTGGTTACGGAACCAGTTTATGATATTTTTATCATCTCGATCAACAAGTTACAATCATTGGTGGGGCGGTTTGACAAATGTACATCCCGATTCACGTACTGCACATCCACAGATAATATAATTGTACCTTTGACTCCAACGAGTACGGCTTGTCAAAGTAATAGTACTTAGGTATCGAGCGGGTTTTGCCCTAGGCGAGGTGTCGAGTGAGTTGAGAGAGGAATTGGTGAAAAGGGATGGTTTCACTATAGGTTCAAGGGTACATATAGCATAGAAACCAAATAAGGTGCACCACCAACAACAGTTTAAATAACTACACTAACTACAACTACAAGCAGTTATAAAACATGACAATATATTTCGACACGCCCCCATAATGCTTATAGGTAGATATGTAGTTACAGCATAGCAAGCAACAGCAGGTACCCCTTCCATCTCCTCACTCTCCTCCTTCCCCTCCCCCACACTGCTGCAGAGCAGCAGAGAAGGGGGGGAAGTGAGGAGTGGTGGAGGGACGGCTGCATGTTGCCTCACACCCGCCACCCCGGTACCACTCCCCCTGCTCCCCCACATCCTCACACCCTCCCCCTCCCAGCGGCAGCTGCAGCGGTGGGACTGAAAGAAGGAGGAGGGGAAGGGAGAGAGGTGACCCAACACTCCAACACCCTCCACCCCCATACCCTCCTCCCCACGGCTGCAGGGAGACAAAGGAAGAAGGGGGGTGGGAAGGAAGAAAGCCGCAGAGCGGCGAAAAGGTGTCGGTGCAGATGGGTCAGGGGCGGATTCAGGGAGAGCAGGGGCGGAAAGGCCCGTCGCATGCCAGTGCCACGGGGCGCACGACGGGTAGAAGAATAAAAAGGGCCCGATCGTGCGCCTAGGGGCGCACGACGAGCAAGGCACCATCGTGTGCCACGGGGCGCACGATGGGCAGATGAAGGGCACCGTCGCGTGCCACGGGGCGCGCGACGGGCAGAGTAGGAGCCACACACCCGTGGGCGGGACTAAGTAAAAATCGTCACGCGCCCTAGGCGCGCGACCGAAAAATCATCGCGGAAGCGTAAGGCGGGCCCACAGGCCAGGTCGTAAAAAGCTCCGATTCCATATCAAAGTAATAGGCTAAGTTGAAAGGAAGGGCCTATGCTTAGTAGCCTAGGCCCGTACTTAGGTATCGAGCGGGTTTTGCCCTAGGCGAGGTGTCGAGTGAGTTGAGAGAGGAATTGGTGAAAAGGGATGGTTTCACTATAGGTTCAAGGGTACATATAGCATAGAAACCAAATAAGGTGCACCACCAACAACAGTTTAAATAACTACACTAACTACAACTACAAGCAGTTATAAAACATGACAATATATTTCGACACGGCTATGTTCTGTGCGCACACCACAAAGGTTCCCGCACATGCGTGTGCTCGAACCAGACCAACTCTGTTCTACAAGAGTGCACCTGATGGCCTAGGCATTGTTTTCACAGCAGCAATTCCTAGGGTTTCACGGCTGTAGGATGGCGGGGAACAGTTGCCTGGTGTGCAAGACGGTGTTTAAGGACGACAGCAGGTTACAGTCCCATGTAGTGAATGGGGCTGTTTGTCGCGAGGAGTTGAAGAGGAAACGTGAACAACTTTTGTGGGCTGCATATTTGGAAGCCGTTGCGTGCGAAGGAGAGGGTAGAGCAAATACCCCACCGGCATCCAGGCTTAAAAACAACGATGGCAGCTTTCTCTCCGTACCTCCAACGGTGTCGATACCCGAAGTTAGTGTGGTTGGCGACGCGGATACACCATCCGACGGCGCTAACGCCGAATCTACAGAAGGCAGCGATAGGACTGAGATTTTTGATACACTCACAGAGTTGTATCTGTTTTTCCGTGACGCCGATCTGTCGCACCGGGAAATTAACCGTCTGCTACACATTTTCCGCAACCCTCGCTTCAACCTCAGGGCTCTCCGACGATGGCGCAACTGGGTGGATGTGCGCCGCTGGGGCATGGTGCGAGCTCCACCCAACATGGTCCCGTGGAAAACGGAGGAGATAGTGGTGAGGGGTCCCAAAGGACTGCAAATGAAGATGCTACTGCACTTCCGCGACACCGAGTTGGTACGTGATGGGAGGCCAACCTGGAGGCGATGTCTAGGTGACGCGTAGATGAAGTTGGCACCCATCATGTTCTCACCCAAGTTTTTGCGCAACGCACACAGATATTGAAAAAGCTGGTGCGGACGTTCTCATCCAAAAAGGGGTTCGTATGGAAGCCGAGGAAGATATATCGGAAGAAGAACAACGAGAGGGTATTTGAAGGACCGGAGACAGGTGATTGGATGCACAATGCTCAGGTACGCACATGTTAGTTGTTCAATTGTCATATGTCGTGCTTACTGGTACCTGCACGAGGTGTCACAACGCTCAACGGCCCGTGCGCTCTACATGGCAGAAGGAGATTAACGACGACCAGGCACTCGTACTAGGCGTGCTGATATATAGCGATAGCACGCAGGCATCACGGAATGGACGAAGGAACGCGTGGCCTGTGCTGATATCACTTGTCAACATACCCGAAGAATTGCGAGGAGTAGAGCCCGGGCACACATTGGCGGCGGTGCTTCCATTCCCGCCTGAATGGGCGTCGCCCACGGAAAAGACGCGCATGTTCCAGGAGGCGCTGAAGATAATACTCGCGCCCATCATGCGAGAGTCCGCCAGGTACTGGGAGGGGATGGGGGTGGGTATGATAACGATACACGGATGGGGAAGGGGGGCCACCCCAGTTAGTAGCCACCCTTTTGGGAGATATGCATACGATCCATCACTAAGTGAACACTATGTGTGCATGGCGGCCCTATGCAGCGCGCCAGTACGCTTCTTCTACTGCACAGACGCGGACGGGAAGGTGCACAAGGCGGTCCCTTGCCTGTACGGATACCCTGCCGACTTCCCGGAATCCAGCAGAGCCTCCGCAACTCTGCAGCAAGGATCGCATCGGCCATGCCCTAACTGCTATGCTGTGAAGGGGGAGTTGACCATGATGGTGGGGAAGTGTGATCCACGGACCCCTGATCAGCAGAGGGACATTGTTCGTCAAATCTTGGCGTGCAAGAAGAAGGGCGAGGCAGACGATGTGCGGAAGTT